CCCAGGCTCTGATTCATGAGAGCTGGGATGTTAACCTACCACTGAGCCTCAATCAGTGCGTGGACAATAAAACACTCTGTAGATCTCCTCAGTTCAGCAGATAAAGACTCTTATCAGAGTTGAATACAGTTCCTAATTTACAAAGAATAGGGCTGTTTCTGAGGCATGAGTGGAGCTTTGAACTGATTACAGCTTGAGGTGGAAAGGAGCTAGACTGATGATTGATGGCTGGGTGCAGGCATGACTCACAGTTCTGAGCTGACTTCACAGGAACATGCACACTGGTATCAGATAATGTATTATCAGTCAACAATTACTACCAACATAGTGGCTTTTAAAGAAATCTGCAACACCACAATCATTTTACAGTCCAGACAACTTAAACTTATTAAGTTTAAGTAACATTTTAAGAGGTTTTTCTATTGTCACACTGAATCTAATCCTAATCCATTTAAAGTCTCATCCTTTTCTATTGTTCTATTGCCTGATATGCTTGTTTAGAAATTGTATTTGTATTACTTTAATTTCCACTAAAGCCCAATTTAATGCTCAGTGGAAATGATTGCTTCTGTGTTAAGATGCTATGTTTCCCATCAAGTTTTGCTTTGCTTTGCTGTTTTTTTTAATGTATATTTTGTAGCATTTATTTACAGTAATCAGACAGGAAATGAGCAGAGAGAAAAGGCCTCCTTACATGTGGCATCCTCTCTCCTTCCACACCAAATGGCACAAGTAAGTTTGACATTAGCATCAGCACTTTTGACAGATTAGTTAAAACTGGATACATTTTTAAATGTATTTTAACAACTTTACTCACCATAAACTAAACACAGCCAAGATGTGCTGATTACCAGAAATAACTACCTGGTTAAGATGCTTAACTTGCAAGTTTCACTAAATTCTAAATTCTACAGAAGATGCTAAGGAAAATTAAATATATAATGATAGAAGTTTTTGGTTTTTTTAACATTATGCAGAAGCAAATTTACTTAATTTAAATTTTCATTATTTTGTCAGCTGTAACACTTTCTAAAATTCATTTTTACTGTTTAGTGTTTCAGTTTTGCGTGCTCGTATGCTCTAATAAGGCATGCACTTTGAACAACCTGGTAATAAGTCAGACTCTGAGCTGTGACTGAAGTTTGATCTGCATCCTATTTCTGCTCAGGACTGGGAGGAGCATCATTGTATTCTCATAATGTTATCATGTTAAGCCTGTTTGCACCATGTAATCCTCTCAGTGGGTCTGATGTTTAAGGCTGGACTCAACCGGGCTGGGCCGGGCCGGGCCGGGCCGGGCAGGGTGTTGTTTACGCAGGGGTGTGTGGAGGCTCACACTCACCCCTGTGGGTCTCGGATCAGATCTGCTGAACCTGCTCAAACATGGAATGGAGTAAATCTTGATGCTGGCCTGCTGAGTCCATACAATACAGCACAAAGCAACACATTCCCCATGCTGCAAAGATCATAGTTACCTGAGACAACACTGTTATATCCTCTTCACACCTTTATAAAACAATGCATCCCATGACTCATTGTCATGGGATGGAGCTGGAATACAGAGCTTCATTAGCGGGACTTTTCCAGAAGAGGTTCGTCGACATGGAAGATTTTGCAGCTGTATTAGCTCGATATCCGTGATAGAAAAAAAGGTGGAGAATTAAAGTATTTCAGTTGCTTCTGCTTCATCCTTTTTGAAAACAAAACCACAAATCTTTTCCCTCTAAAGCTGTAAAATTTGTCCCATAGATCCGAAGCAAGTTGCTCCCTTCATGCGGCTGCAGCAGGAGCGCTCACCTCCACCTGTGCACAGCCTGAACATCACTGATGGCAAAGAGAAGACAGAGAGGAGCGTCCCATATATGAGTTCTTTTCCAACACAATAGCACATTGTTAATTGAACAATCCCCATTCAGAAAGCACAGTATCCATTGAGAACAAGCACTCTGCTGGTTTGGGTGTGAGACAATGCTCTGATACCTGACTCACAACCAAATGATTGGGTTTTATTTAAAAAAAAAAAAAACAGGAGCAGTGGACATGTTAAAGGAATTATGTGTAAATAAGGTAATTAAAGCTTGGATAACCTGATTACATTTTAAAATGCAGGTCCACGCACTGAGATGGCTTGTTGTTGAGAATAAAGGTCCTCAAAGTATTCTAAGTGTTAATGAGACATAACAAAGAGCCAATAAGTCCAAGCAGTTAGTAAATCGTGCCACATCAAGTCATCGACACACTCCACAAGGAGGATGAAGAAGATGGCTGCTTAGAAGGCTACCTGCAAATATATTAATGTGAGATTAAGTGGAAGGAAAAAGTGTTGTAGATAATATGGGAGGTTTTCTTTCATTTTCCTGTTGGACTTTTTACCTTTCCACACTTCCAAAAAACATGAATAATGACAATGAAATCACTGTTCTTGATTGAGCAGTAAACTGTCCTGACTTAAACTAAAATTTCCTGAAACTGATAATTGGGGTTCAATATGTATGAACAAACATGCATATTTGAATTGAATTACAGAAATAAATGTACTTTTTATAGTGTAATCATGTATTAATATGCAACTGCATATGTTCACCATATGGTCTCAGGAAACATTTGTGCGCCTCTGGGATTTTGCGCGTGCGACAAAAACTTTTAAGAATCAGCGCTGTGACATCAGATGAAACGCATGCGAGGCTGACGTTTAGCTGAAACGTTGCGTTGTTGTATCACGCTGGGTCATTCAGGTAAATTAATTAAATCCATTAGCGCTTGTCCTCACTACGCATTGGAGTGTGCGTCATGATCAACACTGCTGATGTGGATTCAATGTCTAATTCTAACGAGCTGCGACCCAACAACCATAACACACAGCAGACACACGCTGGAGTTAAATAAATAGGGCTTAATGGTCAAGCTATTAATTATATAGTCAGTCAATTTGCTTTTTTTTTTTCTTCAAGGTAAAACATTTAATTTTACAGATTGAACCGTCATTAGCTCTGCAGACGCCTCCAGAGCAGATATAGTGACAATGTCGAGCTTATGGACGTTTTGGAATCTTTGAGAAAAAAAAAAAAAAAAGAAATGCATTAACATTAGACTCAAACAGTAACACCTGTGATTGCATAAATGTTGTATTATGTAGGCTATTCATTAATTTTTGATTTTATTTCTTTCTTTATTTTTATTTTTTTAATACCCTTTATTTAACCCCGTTGAGATCTTGATCTCATTTTCAAGAGGGACCTACAATACACAGCAACCTGGTCACAAAACAGAACAAATGTATACATATGCACAAGTGTAAAACAATATAAGACCATTTAAAAGCAGTGACACCGTTTAATAGAATATCGTTGCTTGTTTTATTTTAAGAACCGCTCGAAATAGATGCAATAAAATCAATTCTGACATCTTGAGTTTGGCCTGGAGCTGGAGCCATCACACAGCAAGCATGCAGTGTGATGGCTGCAAGCATGCAGCCATCACAAAAAGTCAATTATTTGAATTCCTTTCTTAGTCCGGAACCCAGTTCCTCTATTATTATTATTATTATTATTATTATTATTATTATTATTATTATTATTATTATTATTATTATTATTATTATTATTATTATTATTATTATTATTATTATCGTCACAGTTCTGATTACAGACACTCCGTTTTTCAGTTCGAACACGTGGAACATTCAAAATACATGCAATGCATGTAAACGAAGAAATTAAATAAACAATAATAATAGAAAATACAAATAAGCAAAGAGAAAGATGAAACCACGTTGAAGTAAATGTGCATCTAATTTTACACAAAAACGAGGCAAAAAATCATGATAATATTTTTAATGTATTTTTTGTAAATATTAGAGACTTTAAAGTAGTATTAATGTATTTTCGCTCGTCTTTTGTATGTAAAAATGTAGAAATGAAAGGTTGGATAAATTATACAATATCAAAATATATGATATATTAAAAAAAAAAAAGAATTAACAGTTAAACTGCCAAATTTAAGTGATTTACCCCTTTTTTACATTCGGAGGAACAACAACCACCAAAACTGAGAAATATAAATAAATAAAATCTGTTACTTACTACTGAAAAATATTTAGTTTTTTTTAAATGAAGTGTTAAAATGGTGGAATTTACCAGAAGTTTACATTCAAGATGCAATCCTGTCTTCCTCTCTCTAAACCAGATAAACTTGACAACGTTAAGTTGTGCTGAGCTGATCTCCCTTCTATTCAACCGGTCCACTATCTCTCCTTCATTCTTGTACGTGGTGCAAATATTTGTGCGCTTTAATCGTGCAATAAACACGCCTTGATCATGTTTCTATCGCTTTGCTTGTTCCAGTCCTGTAAAATGATGATGGCCAATAAGAGCTGAGAGCCTCGATGTAATTAGTAACCAGCTCTATGTGCTGAGGGGTGGAAAAAAAAATAACTGATGCTTTTCTTCCCCGCTTCTTATAGGTTTATTGATTCTGTTTCTTTGCAGAAGGTAAAGTTTGCAATGTACCTTTAATGAGTGAATCAAAGGAAATGTGTTCTTAAAATTAGATTTACTTCACACAATTAAAAGTCTAACTTAAGGTGAACTTATTCAACTTTGGGGAATTGAATTTGGTTGATAATTTTATAGTTTTGTGGAGACAAATTGAGGAAAGGGGGCAAATATACATTGGCGCATTGTGTAGACCAATTTTGCGGGAATTTACAGGTTTGTGGCAACATCTATATATGTTATGCTAAGTTTAGTAGAGTCTCAAGGCGCCCCATGGGACTGGGGCGTGATGGGCCCCAATCACCAACCTGAAGATTCACACCTTAATTCCCCTCCTCCCGGCATCCCATTGGCGGAGCCGGGCTCTTATATCCCGTCACTCGTCATCACCGGGATGATGACGTTGACCCGGGAGCAAAATCCCGAAAAATCAAATGAAATATGCATTTCACCCCGGTGGCCCCTTGTTTCCAGTCATGCGTAAACCCGCTGGAGAGTGAGGAGGGACGGCAAATGAGCGAGGTGCGCTCCTCCAGTTCGGTGTCCTCCAGCCCTGTGTCTGTCCACTCGGAGTCCAGCTGTGCCAGTCCGGAGCCAAAGTCCGCCCCGGCGCAGCAGAGGGTCAGGAGGCCGCTGAACGCCTTCATCATCTGGACCAAAGAGGAGCGCAGGCGGCTGGCGCAGCTCAACCCAGACCTGGAGAACACCGATCTCAGTAAAATACTTGGTAATTTTGTTGTCTTAACATTTTTCCAATAATGAGTTGATAAAATTCTGACTTATAAGTTTTTTTTTTGTTTTTTTTTTGACAAGACCGACGACCTAAGTGAACTTTTCAAATAATTAGGGCCCTTTGGAGGCCTGAGGGCCCCAAGAGAGATTAAACCGCAGTGAATGGTAGTTGGTAAAAGTGCATTCAGATTAATTAGAATATCAAGGAAACTGTATTTGTTTGTTTAAAAAAAAAAAACAAAAACATAAAAATCAGGGTTCTTTTCTTTTAGTGGTCTTAATATAGTGACATTTTTATTTTGCGAATACAGATTTTTCTGAAATCTTTAATAATAAAAATAGCTCAAAATACATCACCATGTCGAATTTAATTAGCCTACTCAATTAAATTGAGTTTTGTTTTTAAATTTTTCTTTTTTATATGTGCATATATGTCCTTTCTAAGTTAGAATGTCTTGCTTGCGAGCTTCTCAAAGCACTCTTTATTGCCTGTTAAACTTAAAATACTTTTTAAATGCTCCTTTAATTTGCATAGATGAAGCACTTTGTGAGCAACCAGAGTACTGTTTAAATGAACAGAAAATAAATGTATGAGTTTCACTTTCTGAAAATGAGCCTCCAAAGGAGGTTTAAAGTTTTGTAAAAAAAAAAAAAAAAACAACAAACAAACAAAACAAAAAGAAATAAAAGAAAAAAAAACAGGAAGTCCTCACAATAGTCCTCTTTAGAGTTCACTTTAACCTCAAAATCATGCTTATAAAGATTATTCATCACAATCTCTTCTTGCAGGAAAACAATGGAAGGCTATGCCCTTGGCTGAGAAGCGTCCCTACATGCAGGAGGCTGAGCGCCTGAGGGTCCAGCACATTATTGATTATCCCAACTACAAGTACAGGCCTCGTCGGCGGAAGCATCTGAAGAAGAGCCTTAAGACCCTGTCTACAGAGGCCTCTCCTGTCTGCAGCTCTGGCTCCAGCATTCCCTATAACCTCACCGATTTGCTCCAGAACCACCAGCAGCAGCAGGCCTTCCACAACTCACCTCCTTTCCCTCATCCATCCCTCCACTCTAACAGATACATCAACCCAGTCATCCCTGATTCTCAAGCAGCCACTGCAGCCGTCAGTTTCTCCAGTGGCCCTGCTGTGTGCTCAAACCCTCCTGGGTACCAGCCGCAGCCTCAGGTGTACTTTAGCTCCCAGCAAAGACACATGCACCACGGGTTCTCCTCGTCTACAGCTCCTCCAATGGACCAGAGGGAATCCAGGCTCTACGGGCTCCAGCAATGCCCAGCAGGACTTTCCTTGGACTTTTACTTAGAACAGGTTCAGCTGGACATGCTGTATGATTTAGACCGGAGCGAGTTTGAACAGTACCTTGGTCCAAAACACCACTGGTCAGACTAGCAGAGCAGCTAAAGAGGAGGATGCTCTGAGTGATAAATCTGATCAATGTGGTCTATTTATTAAAACTGTCTCACTTCAATTGAGAATAACTGACTGCATGTTTGCAGTCAGTTATCTTCCTCTGTGATGAGTTTTCATTGTCTTCCAATGTTGAGATATGAAAATAAAGAATCAATGAATAACTCCAAATAATCTCATAATTATGTTGTTCATCTTCTAAAACAATAAAACACCCCAGTGTTAGATAAGTGGCTAAAATTGCTACAAATGACAAAAGAACTCCATTTAAATTACCAATTAGTATTCATAATTACACTTCCCATAATGCAACATGATTTAGAAAACTTTTCATTTTAATTTAGCAATATATCTCCACAAAACAACAAAATAATAATAATAATAAAAGATTCTCAAGAAATCTTAAGTCCCTAAAAGTCACAGTAAATATTACTTTCATTAAAAAAATAAACTTGACTGGCGTTAGTCGCTTGAAAAGGTGCTATTTAGAAACCGTAATGTATCCTGGTATTCAAGAAATAAGAAAATAAACATCTTTGGCCAATTGTTTTACATTTACTGACACACATCGCAAATATGTCTTAGGAACCTTGGAAATAATACCTTTAATTGCAGAAAAATTCAAACTTAGCTGTTTGTATGAGTCAAACAGCTATTTCGACTCATACAAAATAGATGTTTAGTTACTTTTGACCTTCTGTTTCTCTGGAATAGAAGTGTGAAATGAACAAGAACTATTTTTTTCTAAATTCCCTTGTAGTGATCTTGCAGTATACATGTGAATGAGAGCAAATTATTTGAAATATCTGTTACATTACACACAGTAGGAGCCATTCACCCTGTTTAATCTTGAGTCTCTTGGCTCAGCGATGGAAGCCGACTGGGCGCCAAAGAAATAAACTTCCCAACTTCCTGTTACATTTTAAAACATCTCACAAAGGCTCTAAAAATATGCCCCAAAATCGACATATCCCCAAACACTCATTCTGCCAAATGTTTACCCATTTAGGAGAATGTTTACTTCCCTGCCCGGTATTTTCTGTGTCAGAGCCTCGAGGTTAAACTCGAGGCTCTGACAAGCCTCTGATAAATGTAAGAATGCAAGACATCCCTCCAAAATTATCCCATGCTATGTGAATGATTATCCCACCCAGTGATGCATTTTTGTCAATGTGTCAGATTTTTTTTTTTTTTACCTCATAGAATGATTTATCAGTTGAAATTATTGAGATGTCTGAAGTGAAAGAATTATTTACAGGTTATTTACAGGCAAAAATAAGATACTAAGGCTGAAATAAGATCACACACATTATAGAATACACAACATTTTTTTCCTCAAGAGTTTGACTGATATTTTTTTTTTCTGATTTACTTCAAACTTGTTCCACAAAAACATTGAAAGCATGACTCTTGTCCCAACTGAGATTTGAAAATCTGCAACTTTGAAAAAAGTTAAGAGACCACTGCACTGAACCCCAATGAAAAGCTCATGCTTAGTCCACCAAATATTGATTTCTGAACTCTTTCTAAATTAACATGAACTTGTTCTCCTTGTGTTATTTGAGGTCTGAAAGCGCTGCATATTTTGCTGTTATTTTAACCATTTCTCATTTTCTGCAATTAAATACCAAATTTTTGCTTGGAATTTTGAAAACATGTAGTCAGTAGTTCATAGAATAAAATAACAATGTTCATTTTACTCAACCATATACCTAGGTACATTGTACACAGAAACTTGGCAGCAGAATATCCTCTTGAAAATGTGTAGTTTATGCATACAAAAGGTAACTACCACTGCATAAATGATATGCTTATTTATACTTCTGAGAAGAAGTTCTTTAGTATTTGAAGGGATGCACTGCTGCAAAACTTTATTATAATATAATTTTATAGTCTTTGTGATGTTATTACAAATATTTAACTGATAGCACCACAATTATCAGTTCCTACTGGTTTGTCAATCTGCAAATGGGGCTTGTGTAAGATGAAAGTAACTTAACCAGGATCCATATTCTGACTCATAAGTCAAATGGAGTGCACCAATAAGTGATCAAGTTATCAATAATATTTGGTAGCTGATTTCCTCCAAGTTCTCTTATCATTCATAATGTTTGTTTATGTCGATATGTGACATTAATTTTAAACTGCAAATGTATGAAATGAACAAACAAATAAAAAAATAACATGAATAAACAAATAACATAATAAATCCGATGAGAACACAAGAAGTGTGGACATGCGTCCACCCATGAGTCAGAGAAACATTGGGAGGAAGTGGAAGAGCACAGAACCAAAGGGAAGGATGAGAGAGCATAGGAGCTGATTAGGAGAAGAAGGACTTGCAGCAGTCTGAAACCACCTGAATGAGCGGAAGAAATCTGACGTCAGTTCAACTCCCAGGACAACGTTACAAAACAAACTGCAACGAGAGATGCAGAAAAAAACACAGGGACGCTGAAGATTCTCTGTGTAACAACAATAAAATCCACTCTCGGGCCTTATATTTCCTCTATTGTTTGCTTAAAGTCAAAGCTGTTTCTTGTTTTCCTTGAAATGTGGTCCCTCAGCAACAATTAATGACCAGTTGCAGGAACTTCCTGAAGGAAAAACAACTGTGTGATATCATCAGAGATGCAGATGAAATTTTCATCAACAGTAGCAGAAATACAAACTATAGGTGCATACTTTTGTGACACAAAAGTTATTGCATTGGGTTTTTATTTATACAATAAAATGTGTGGAATAATTGCACATACTTTATTTCATGGCTATTTAAAACATTATGATACTGGTGAGACATTATTCCATTTGTCAAAAAAAAAAAAAAACCTGCTGGGAGCTGACAGGAATATGTCTGAGCTTATCACTGCCGAGGAATGTGTGGAATCCGAACATGTCAAACATGCCGTAATCCAGAGGAAACATTCCTCAGCCATAAAATACTTTCCATCCTCCAGATCAAATATGTAAATACTCCAACTCTGTATGTACATTGTTGATACAGGAATATCTGGAGTTTATATTAAACCTATAAAAAGACAAACATTCTTGAGATTTTGTGTGCCATTTTTAGGTTCCTCTTCTTTTACCGTCTGTTCGACGGTCATCAATAGTTTCCTGTCCTGAGTCTGGTTTGGGTAAAGCTGAGGCTGCCGTCTGCAGATGATTCCCATCCAAGTATTATCCAACAGGGACGTCTGCTCAGGGAGGAAACTCAAACAGGAAAACAGTGAAGTGACATACTCCACAGTTTCTTACCCGGCAGAAGCTGTGGAGCAAATTGAAGGTTTCATTATTTCCTCTTCAGCAGCAGCAAAATTTAGAGACGTGGGAAAACTTTCTGGTGGTTCAATGAGTTAAACATCTGTTTGATCACTTCATTAAGCCTAATCATGAAGTAATTGGGCCTATCAGATTATCATGACTTCATCAAATTGCTCCCAAAGAGAAGGTTCAGCAGCTTTTCACCTGAAACTACATCAAGATCAAGTTATCTATGATAGGTTTCTTACCGCATCATGCAAATGGAAGTTCTTTATTTTTAAACTTTAGAGAATGGAAAAGATGGAAATGCTATGTTCGTAAGCCTAATTTACCATTTTAAGTCCTTCTATTTTTGAGACATGCATAATGGACTTTAGTAAGCACTATCAGTTAACAATCAAGTTGTTGTGAGTTAGTTGTCTGCTGTCTGTCACCTCAAATCACGTGTTAGAGTCACTGACAAGTTGTAAAATGCTGGTTTTTCATTTTTGCTGTGAAAATTCTCATTCTCTGTAAAGAAACTCAACTTTATTCATTCAGTAATATTACTTTTGCTGTTTTATATGTGCCTTTCAAATTAAGCGGTATGATAAGCAGTTTTGTAAAAGACCAAAAAACATAACAGAGAGGACACTGACAAGTTCTGGTTGGGGAATCTATTGACAGCACAATTATTAAGGCTCCGTTTGGGCCTGAAAATCTCAACTTTGGGTAACAGAAATAATTTCTCTTTTTCTGCAGAGTGTGCGTTGACCTTTAATTGTGCACTTTGCAAATTTGGCTTACAACTGACAGGAAGTCTTGTTTTCAGATTGTCATGCAGTTTGTTTTAGTTTTATTTTTAAGTAGTGACACAGAAGCTGGTCAGAGTTGATCGAGGATGGATGGAGATAAATACAACGCAGGCCTGGAAGGAAACTTGTTGACGAGGGCAGGGTTCAACTTCCAGCAGGACAATGATTTAAGCCATACAGCCAGAGACACGATAGAGTGATTTAGATCAAGTCATGTGTCAAAATGGCCTACTTAAAGCACAAGACCAAATCTAATTAAGTGTCTGTAGAAACACTTTGATAAAAAACACGTGTTAACAAATAAACTACAAATAATCTTACAGAGATTAGACTGTCAGGCAAAACCTTCAGTGTCTGGATGTGCAAACCTTCTTGATACAAAAAAGTGCAGTTGTACTGATTCAAAAAGTCTTTTGCAGAAGTGCAAACATTTCGGTTGTATTTGTTTAGGTATATTACTTACACACTCAATTGAACATATTGAAGTTGGTTGATTCTATGTGACAGAAAACAATAAAAAACAAATTGATGTGTACTGTAATTATGTCAAATTATTTAAGTATAGTCAATTTAACCACATAGGCAAAGTGGATAATTGAAAGACGAGCAAAGAAATGTCAGGGCTTCAAAAAATTATTAACAGAAGATAAACTATATTTAAACAGGTCTTAAAAGATGCAAAACATCCTCATCTACTGAATGTCAGCTTGTCAACTAAGAATACTTTACTGAAAATGTTCATCTATGATACAAAATAATTTGTCAGCAAACTGGCATTAATTCAAAGAATTTATGTCTAAGACTTTAAAAATGATTGCAAGAAATCCTGGAAGCACAATGTGAAGAAACGCTCACATGCAGACAGAAGCAGGGCTGAGAGGTCTCGCTCCACTGAGTGTGAAAGTTACAGAGAACATTCCACAC